ATCGTTAACTTTTTTTACATTGATTGCGCGCTCCCTTTAATAAATGGTGGTCGCCTCCAAACATCCTACATTCCGAATGCAGGAAACCCCCCTACGAGCCACTCCAAGCGGGACGCGGCCGATGATGCCGATTGCGGCAACAAGGGCCACCTTCTATCACGTTCCATCCAGTGAGGGAAACAAGGTTTTTGTTGTTGTTCTATTTTCACGTTATCGGACTAGTCACGTAATCAAACCAATAGTCAGTAAAATAATCTATATATATAAAATCGTTCATGTCTGTCTGTCTGTGTGTGTGTGTGTGTATTTCGGCCCATACGCACTTTCATTGGACGGCGGTTGCCCCTGGCAACGGCTAGCCACGCCTTCGCCGCTTTCATTGGACCTGGCAACGGCTAGCGACGCCTTCGCCAAGGGCTGCAGTTTCATTGGACGGCGGTTGCTTCTGCCAACGGCTAGCCACGCCTTCGCCACTTTCATAAGCTCCGTATTTAATTAAATAATAGCCATTACACAGTATTGTTGGAGCGCTGAGGGGGGGGGGAAGAAACGCCACCCGTACCCTGCCTCTTCCAAGCCGACAATTTTAGGCGAGGCCGCAGGCTTTGCACGCTACTAGGCCTCGACACCCACCACGCCACTCTGAGGTAAATTCATCAAAGTTTTTCCTACTCTTCACTACACCCCCACCACAATGTGTGCTATTAATATTAATTTTAAACCCAACGCGCCAACAATCGATTACTTTAATGTTCACTGTACAAATACTCATTAAGCTGGGTGAGCGTACTGCCAGTCTATCATGTACACTGTAGCCTGCTTATTAAGCTCGGTGAGCGTACTGCCACTCTATCATGTACACTCTAGCCTGCTTATGAAGCTGACTGCGTGTACTGGCAGTCTATAATGTGGACTGTAGCCTGGTTATTATAATCGATTCTTTATATGTTCTTTGTACAAACAGTCATTAAGCTGCTTGAGCGACCCCAGTTCGATTCCAACTCACGCCCACCACCGCTGACGATTATTTGAAACGGACCTGGCCCTCCCCTAGGTCCACTCAGCCTCAAACGCGTAACTGCTGTCGTGTGTGAACATCGTCACTGGGGAGACAAAGGCGGCGGGGCATCGTGGATCCAAGTCCCGGGCGAAGCCGGGTCATGTGTATGTGTGTTTGTGTTTATGTGTATGTCTGTGTGTCTCTATGTATGTGTGTATGTATGTGTATGTATGTGTTTGTGTGTATGTGTGTGTGTATGTATGTGGGTTTTTTTTATGTCTTTATGTGTATGTCTGCGTGTCTCTATGTATGTGTGTATGTACGTGTGTGCATGTGTTTGTGTGTATGTATGTGTGTGTCTATGTATGTGTGTGTATGTGTTTTTGTGTATGTATGTGTGTGTATGTATGTGTGTTATGTGTCTGTCTGTGTCTGCATGTATGTGTGTGTGTATTGTGTATGTGTTTGTGTGCATGTATGTGTGTGTTTGTGTGTATGTGTATGTCTGTGTGTATGTATGTGTGTGTATGTGTGTGTATGTGTTTGTGTGTATGTGTGTGTATGTGTTTGTATGTGTTTGTGTGTTTACGCTCGCATTACACAAATGTGTTGCTGGTCTAAGGCGTTCCTCGCACAGCATTGCCGCTTTATTTTTTCAGTCGTTTACTGCCTTACGCACCCTGAAAGTCGTGTGTGTCTGCAGCAAGCGCGTGTATGTGTACCTATGGACGCGCGCGCGTGTGTTGTGTAGGGGGAACGGTAGTGTAGTGCTTAGCGTGCTGTCTGAGTCTGTGTGTGTGTGTCTGTCTGTGTGTGTCTGCGTGTGTCTGTGTGTGTGTCTGTGTGTGTGCGTGTGTGGTGTGTGGGGAGCGGTAGTGTAGTGCTTAGCGTGCTGTCTGTGTGTCTGTGTGTGTGTGTGTCTGTCTGTGTCTGTCTGTGTGTGTCTGCGTGTGTCTGCGTGTGTCTGTGTGTGTGTCTGTGCGTGTGTCTGTGCGTGTGTGGTGTGTGAGGAGCGGTGGGTGTAGTGCTTAACGCTACGCTGCGCTACCAACCCGGCGAACCGAGTTCGATTCCCGCTCACGGCCACCACCGGTGACGATTATTTGAACCTCCCCTAGGTCCACTCAGCCTCAAACGAGTAACTGGTGTGGCGTATTAACATCGGCACTTGGGAGACAAAGGCGGCCGGGCGTGGTAGATCCAAGTCCCGGGCGAAGCCGGGTCATGTGTATGTGTTTATGTGTATGTCTGTGTGTCTGTATGCATGTGTGTATGTATGTGTTTGTGTGTATGTCTGTGTGTGTATGTATGTGGGTTTTTTTGTATGTGTTTATGTCTATGTCTGTGTGTCTGTATGTGTGTATGTACGTGTGTGTATGTGTTTGTGTGTATGTGTGTGTGTGTGTATGTGTGTGTGTATGTATGTGTATGTGTTCTGTGTATGTATGTGTGTGTATGTATGTGTGTTATGTGTGTCTCTGTGTGTCTGCATGTATGTCTGTGTGTATTGTGTATGTGTTTGTGTGTATGTATGTGTGTGTTTGTGTGTATGTGTATGTCTGTGTGTATGTATGTGTGTGTATGTGTGTGTGTGTGTTTGTGTGTGTATGTGTGTGTTGTGTGTATGTGTGTGTTTGTATGTCTTTGTGTGTTTACGCTCGCATTACACAAATGTGTTGCAGGTCTAAGGCGTTCCTCGCGCAGCATTGCCGCTTTATTATTGCAGTCGTTTACTGCCGTGCGCACCCTGAAAGTCGTGTGTGTCTGCAGCAAGCGCGTGTATGTGTTCCTATGGACGCGCGCGCGTGTGTTGTGTAGGGGGAACGGTAGTGTAGTGCTTAGCGTGCTGTCTGTGTCTGTGTGTGTGTGTCTGTGTGTGTGTCTGTGTGTGTGCGTGTGTGGTGTGTGGGGAGCGATAGTGTAGTGCTTAGCGTGCTGTCTGTGTGTCTGTGTGTGTGTGTGTCTGTCTGTGTCTGTCTGTGTGTGTCTGCGTGTGTCTGTGTGTGTGTCTGTGCGTGTGTGGTGTGTGAGGAGCGGTGGGTGTAGTGCTTAACGCTACGCTACCAACCCGGCGAACCGAGTTCGATTCCCGCTCATGGCCACCACCGGTGACGATTATTTGAACCTCCCCTAGGTCGACTCAGCCTCAAACGAGTAACTGGTGTTGCGTATTAACATCGGCACTGGGGAGACAAAGGCGGCCGGGCGTGGTGGATCCAAGTCCCGGGCGAAGCCGGGTCATGTGTATGTGTGTATGTGTTTATGTGTATGTCTGTGTGTCTGTATGCATGTGTGTATGTATGTGTGTGCATGTGTTTGTGTGTATGTATGTGTGTGTGTATGTATGTGGGTTTTTTTGTATGTGTTTATGTGTATGTCTGCGTGCCTGTATGTATGTGTGTATGTACGTCTGTGGATGTGTATGTGTGTGTCTATGTATGTGTGTGTATGTGTTTCTGTGTTTGTATGTGTGTGTATGTATGTGTGTTATGTGTCTGTCTGTGTGTCTGCATGTATGTGTGTGTGTATTGTGTATGTGTTCGTGTGTGTTTGTGTGTTTACGCTCGCATTACACAAATGTGTAATGCGGGTCTAAGGCGTTCCTTACACAGCATTGCCGCTTTATTATTTCAGTCGTTTACTGCCGTACGCACCCTGAAAGTCGTGTGTGTCTGCAGCAAGCGCGTGTATGTGTACCTATGGACGCGCGCGCGTGTGTTGTGTAGGGGGAACGGTAGTGTAGTGCTTAGCGTGCTGCCTGTGTCTGTGTGTGTGTGTCTGTGTGTGTGTCTGTGTGTGTGTCTGTGTGTGTGCGTGTGTGGTGTGTGAGGAGCGGTGGGTGTAGTGCTTAACGCTACGCTGCGCTACCAACACGGCAAACCCAGTTCGATTCCCGCTCACGGCCACCACCGGTGACGATTATTTTAACCTCCCCTAGGTCGACTCTGCCTCAAACGAGTAACTGCTGTAGCGTATTAACATCGCCACTGGGGAGACAAAGGCGGCCGGCCGTGGTAGATACAAGTCCCGGGCGAAGCCGGGTAGTACAGCTAGTCAATTCATAAAATCATTGAATGGCCAAAGCTCTGCAAATGACTAATATTTTTTATAGTTTTATTTTGTACTTAAGATGTTGCTCGTATTAAATATTTACTTGCCATGCTCAGTGTAGGTGTTATACACGCAGGGCTTCACATCCCTGCTTGTGCATGGTTGGTTACTAAATCACCTTTGAACCCCATATTATTTGCAGACAAGATTTCGTTTTGAAGAGCAAATCCCCACCTCAGGTCACGTGCTCCCGATGTGGATTGTTTATTCCATGGCTCGAGCTATCTCTGCGATCGCCTGCACACAAATTATCTAACGGTTGTAAGGGTGCGTGACTGCCCCCACCACTCCCCACCTAAGCCCATCCCTTATCATCCCTCCCAGAAAACCCCTAGTAACCCAGATGTATTGCCTCAGGTACATTTAATACAGTTTAACTCTGTATGCTACACGTGATACACATTATACCATGTTCTTATGCATTTTAATAAGCATATACTATATGTAATATTCCAAGGTACAGTATATATTATGCACATAATTATATTATTTAGCCATTTTTTTATCATTAAGATTGCAGATGTTTTTTTTACTTAGGCACCTTCATCCGGTTAACTGCAGAATCTGGCCAGCCAGAGCCTAGCGAGCTGGGGTTTTAATGTATAAACAAATTATACATTTAGGCTGAGACAGACAATATAAACTAGGCAGTACAAATGAGACAAAAATAATCACGTCTGAATCGTATTGGGACCGCATATCATGCCACTCAATAAACTTGGGGGGGTTCCTTTTAACAAACAGGACATGGGGAGACCAGGTCAACAACAACAACAAGACTGAAGCATGCAACTTTGACATCTTGCACAGAAGCCGTTTCGTCGCTATGTTTAACCAAGGCATGTTTGCCACCTGCGTCTTCATGTCTTTGGGAAGGCCGTGACCCTACCTTGGAGATGTTACTCGAACGGCTCGTGGAGCGGCCGGGAGATTTCTCGCCCTGCCAACACAAAGACATGAGGCATCAATACATATACAGCACTCACATGCACAGCAGCCACACACACACAGCAGCTGTGGAGCCGGCACAGGAGAACTAACACAGACATGATAGTCACGCACAAGTGCTAATCCCGTTCATCTGGCTGTGGACCCAGATTTTCGCCCATGAAGGAAAAAAATATTAACCTAATTTTTATTATTTAATTTTATAACCAGCAGAGGAGGGAAAATTGTGGCAGAGGTGCAAAGGCACAAAAAAATCACTGCCATAAACGAATAAAACATAGCAGTGGCGACATTTCTGGAAATAACACTTATTTATAAATCAAATGTGATACTTGCGCCACCGTTCTGGGCTAACACAAAGGCGCTATGTTTCACAGGCACGGTCTGTGGTAGTTTCACGAGAGGGGGCTTTGATTGCTACGTTCGAACCGTGCCGAAGCGAGTAGGGGCGCTGTGTGCGGGCGTCATTGTCCACATTTGCCAAATGACTCTCGCTCAAATTGGGATTGGACATAGCGTATCACTGCCCATTTTTCCTTAGCAGTGTTCCCTCAGCAAGCAAAGAAGAACCATTTTTTGAAATGTCAGTCATGTATAACTTTTAATCAGGCAGTGTTATTTACCAACATTTCACTTTTTTTGTTATGAAGAAAAATTGTTTAACACGTAGGCTTTCGCGCCCAATATCAACCATAATACAGGTTTTTTTTGGGTAAAATCACATAAATATATAAATGTGTCGTTAAACCCGTCACCACCCGACACAGCTAATTCGTAAGGTTTGTCACGTAAACAGAATATACCAATTCGTTACTAGTACAGCACACCGTTGTGTTGGAGAGCAAAGAAAATTAGCTTAGGCTTTTCAATTGCTAAATAAGAATGTTGATCAATTGAGAACATTGGGATGTATAGCTTGAGCGTGGATCCTGTGCATTTTTTCTCTGAAATCTGCTACTTTGTTTGGGCTGCAGGGTGCGTCACGCGGCATTGGCTCTCAGTGGCAAGCCCACAGAGGGGAGTCTGAAGGGCAAGGCCCTCTATTCTATTGTAGATGTAGCCCTTGGATTACTCGGCAGAAAGGCGCGCGGCAACAAGAGGCCCCTGTGGCTGTGGATGGGTCCCTAATCGATGCAGAGCCGGAATAACACACTCGCAGTTATTCTTTTACCAATTTAGCAATTTGTGTTTAGTCTCCAAAAAGCATGTGCAGTATACACATTTTGTGACATCATACTCGTACACTAAATAGACAAACAGTTGTTTCACGAATTTGGCAGAATAGTTTTTTCGTGGAAATTCTGGCAGTCAGAATTCTACAAAAGCATCAAAACAAACTCTAAAAGAATCCAGCCCTGTTTTATACACACATAATTGGCACGCTGCAAACGGTTCAGAGGTGGCTCGAGGTCTAGTCAATGGCTCCCAAAAGGGACCCCATTAACCTGATTAAGATCACCCATGCCTCTGCATCACATCACCCCAGAGCAAAGCAATCAATTGCAAGTTCATATTCTTCCCCATGTGGTTTTCTAGAGCAAACGTGCTCTTCATAACTGCTACCAATTTTTTGGTGTTCTATTCCAGTGCTTTATTAGCTCAATAGCTATATGTGATCTGCAATTTATGAAAATCAGTATCAGTGCAGATGTAAATTCAAAGCTGGGACAATTATTTGATTAAGCTGATGAATGAACTAAACTTTTTTTATGGAGTACTGTACTTTTTTGTGATCAATTACTTGCCTCCTAAAGGCAGGAAACCCCCTAAAACCATGCCCATCATGATACGGCTGATTATGCCGAAGATGTCACCAAGCCCCGCCTATTACCTTCCATCCAGCGGCACATGTGGGAAGAAAGATGCTTTGCTTTTGTGACCAAGACTTTACGTGAAGGAATGACACAAATGAACACGTTTGAACATTGAAAATAAGTGCACTTCAAAATATCACTGTCCTAGTCACAAAAGCAAAGTTTGTGGGGAATACTTTTGAGGCATACGCAATTAGAAAATAACACTTACTACCCAGGGACAAACAAACATATTTCGTTAAACAGTGTAATCAAACCAATAATTATTAGAGTAATTGATTACTGAACTAATTGGATATCCGGCTCTAAACAAATCCAAGTGAATGCTAATTCATTAAGCTCCTTGAGTGTAAGTTGTTTGAATGTCCACTTCACCTGACTTTATCATCAGATGTGCTCATGTTCTGGAAATGTCAATAAAGCCAAGGACTGAGCTGTGTCAATAGCTGAAAGCAAGTAAGCACAGAGAGCCATGTGGTGGGTAGATGTTATCTCCCTCGCCTGGGTTAGTTCCCAACCCTGACCCCTGAGTCGTCAGAGTTTACACGGTCTCCACGTGGTAGCATGCATTTTCTTTCGGGTCCTCTGGTTTTTTCCTTCCACATTTTGAAACGTGCATTTAAAGTATTTGGCTGCTTTAAACTTCCACGTGATAAGCCACTTCGTTGAGCTATCATTTGTGGCCAGGTTGCTGAAGAAACAGAGCTATACAGCTCAATGAGCCCGGCATGGTAAAAAAAATGGAATACACCCTGAGTACGAGTCCACCATCCTACGCCATGGCCTGCTTCCCTCGACTTCTCCACAAAATAACAACAATCGTCATTTGCCACTAAGTCGCGGTGACGTCACCACGGCGCTTGTGCCAGGCTATGTGCACATAACGCCACGTGAAGTGCCAGAAAATAAGCACACATACAGCGATGTGGATAAACAAAAAACATTCACACAACCGATTATTTCACATTATGGGGTTTACTGTCCCCATTGGGGCCATTGCCAAGTAGTGTCAGCCCCAAGTGGCCGGCCAGCGGTGTTGTAACCTGGGAAGGGCTGTTGCTTTTGACAACGTCCCTCCGTTGTTCCACTATGCACTGGGAATTCGTGTCGAGAGGTTCCACAAGTTCAAGTTGTCCTGAACTCAGTCCCCAACCACCGGAGGGGGTCCATTTTGTTTATCAGCACTTAAACAACAAAGTGTGCGTTGCTTCGTAGCCGCTCATTTTGTATATTAAATTACGGCCTATGTCTTTTCAGCTTACACGTATGACCAATGTTTAACTTTACAACATGCATGTAAAAAGATGTTTATCTTACATTATGAAAGTAACCATCCTGTGCTACAAACCAAAGTCCGATTTCCCAGCCACGGATAAAATAAGCGCCAAATGATATTACACAACTAGTCTTGCCCTCCTGCCCCTTCGCCAACCCACAAGTTTAGTGAAGTATGGTAAAAAAAAAACACAAATGACGTTTTACATCTCTTTGTAAATCTACTGCTGAATGAAAGCCCTGCCGAATCCATGTGCCATCTTGGTCATTGAGATCGTTTGACCATACTTAACCACGCTGGAATGTGCGAGTTCGTTAAGTTGAGGCTAGGGACGTGGCAAATATCGCTCGCAACTGACTTTAGCTGCGGCGAGTAACTGAACTCACTTCAACTGGTTCATAGTCCAGTGTGTTAACTACCACGTGACCAGTCCACCAACACTTTCACGAATACATGAATAACAGTACCATTTTGTTTTTCCAGCCAAGCCTCATTGGTTCGTCAGTCTCTTTTTCAGGAGAGTGCTGCATTGGGATTTTGGTAAATTCCATTAATGAGTGTTTAGCATGTAGGGATGAAATAGAATACCAATAGAAAGCAGAACGGAAAAAAATACAATACAGCCTTTAATTCAGCTGTCTGGAAGCTGTCATCTGTCAAAACCCAAAATAGACAGCGTTTGTGAAGTAAAACATAACGTGAATGACATTACCTTCTATTTAACTGGAACTGTTAAGTGATGTAGTGGAGTGGTTTGTACAACTAAATTACTACGCAAATTAAAAAGCAATGACCTGCAATGAAATAATAATGGTCAGTCTTCAAAATAACAAAATCAAATGAATAAACCTGCACTTGATGTTACAACCCTGTGTTCTCTCTACAGTAGGTGTGTGTGTCCTACAAGTTATGATTTTCTGCCCTGGGCATTTGATAAAATACTAGATAGACTTCAGTGTACAAAGTGAAAGATCCATGCTTGAGCATTGGGCTAATTGAGGAGAAATCAAGAAAATTCCTGTTATTACGCTATATTTTGCATGCCCAGTGCACACCGTTCAGGAATTTGTGTCCGTGGGAACAAAGGCAGTTTTACACATATGCTGTGGAAGAAAATAAGGACTGTGGCTGTGTTTGCTTTCAATTTTCTGTAAGAAGAATAGTTATATTTGACAGAAGTGTGATGGTTCAATGGCATGCCTGAAATGAATCACCAAGTGTTTGATTATGAAAGACAACAGCTTTACCTATGCAAGAATCTTCCCATGTGCCCAAGTAATTAATTACCAGAGACAGTGGCTGTTGTATCCGAATTCCCAAGGTGGAATGCTTCAATTATGTGCCAAACGGAATAATTAGGTACGATACTGGTATCTTTTTACCCCAAGCATAAATAATAACGCTATCTTACTTTCAAGCCCTGACAGATGGACATTTTGCCCTTAGTGGTTTCCGGGACATTGTTTGGCGAAGGAGACACAGGAAGACGGGCCTGCTTCCTGGACCACGCTCTGCAACACTGGATAAAATCAGCTGCCACATGCCTCCTCAGCCAAAGATGATTTATAACGGACCCGTGAACTTTTATTAAAAACAAGTAAATTAAAAGAAATGCATTTCAAGTGTTTAAAAGCAGCAAAACACAACGTGTGGCTGGACGGCCTTGTGGATAGTGTCATCTCTACTGTAGGACGTTGTCATCCAACGTTGCTTACAGGTGATTGACAAACGACATTCACTGATTAGGGATGTGTGTGCTGTTTTGACTTGAAATTTCACTCTTACAATAAAAAACATCTCGTTACTTTTTTTGTGTGTGGCCAATTAATAGCTAATGTGCTTCTTTCCCGTTTGTCACATGTTATTTTATTATGATTCGTTAATACCTGCATATTCAAGCTT